TCTTGATCATCTTTAATACAAATATATCATCTCATTCATTTTTATTTATAAAATTACTTTTAATATCTTTTTCTTTAATTTCAATCTAATATATATTATTAATTTTATCACACTAATTTATTTTCAAGTATATTAATTAGAGCCAAAATAATGATTGAGATAATTAATTCATGATATTTTATATAAAAAGTAGGTTTTTTTATAAGCATAATGAATAGAAAAAAAATATTAAGAATTAAATTAAAGTAATAGTAAAATAGAGTAATAAAAAATAGATATCACAATAACTCGCAAAAGAAATAAAAAGAAAATGAAGTAATATCAAAATAAGTTATTTGTAATAACAATAACTTAAGATGTTTTTAGAACTATTTAATTTTGTTGTTATCATTTTTAGTAGATTTTTGTTAGCGCGAAATTACAATTTTTCCTTGATCATTTTTCACTTCATATATAGAAAGATAATTCTAGAATTATTATCATCTTTCTTCATAGATTTTTGTTAGAGTGAAATTTGTATTTGGTATTAAGGAAAATATTTTCCATGGAAAAATGCTTTCCTAGAAAATATTTTTCTGAAAAATAAGTAGATATTTGACTTATTTTCTCATTCTTGGTTGGTGATTAGAAAATATTTTCTGAAAAAATATTTTAGTTTTTGGTTTTTGAATGAAAAATGTTTTTGAGAAATATTTTTTATTTTTTACTAGTGTACAAAATAATTTTTGAAAAAGAATTTTTTTAAAACTAAAACTTAAAATTTTTCGGGGTGGGGGTGGGGGGTTCGAGGGTAGGAGTGAAAACAATTAAAATTTTAAGTTGAATTTTTTAAGAAAAATAATATTAAATTTTTTTTGGAGGGGATAGGGGCTGGTAGGGGGCTAGTGGGGTAGGGTGGGGGCTGGTAGGGGGTGGTTGGAAGAGGGGATTGAAAATAGGGGTGGGCATAAATACTGGAAAATCGAAACATCGAATCGAACCAAAATTTTTCAGAATTTCAATTTCGGTATTTCGATATTCGGTTTGGTATTCGTTTTACTTTTTTTATATTATTTGGTATTTCAGTTTGGTTTCGATACGCATTATTTTGATTTCGATATTTCGGTTTAAACCGAAATATTATACTATAATTTATATTATATTAATTAATAATTATTAATGTTAAATAATATTTTTAAAAAAAGAAAAAAGTATGTGAAACCCTATTCTTTCATCTTCCTCTTCCTCTTTTATCTTCCTCTTCTTCCCCTTCTTCCTCATGCTCTTCCATCTTCCTCTTCTTACTCTTCTTCTTTCAGGCAGCAGCAACAGCAGCAGCAGCCACCGCTGCCAGCAGCAACTCTTCCTCTTCCTCTTTCAGGCAGCTGCAGCCGCCGGCAGCGACTTCAAGTCTTCAATCGGTGACCAGCGGCCAGTCCAATCAGGTATTCGGTACACAATTAATAAAAATTAAAATAAAAAAATCGAATCAAATTAATAAAAACTGAACCAAACCGAAACATTTCGGTTCTGTATTCGGTACACAATTTACAAGAACCAAAAACCAAAAAATTCAGAAAAAACCGAAACCAAACCGAAATACCGAATGCCCACCCCCTATTGAAAAATATTTTCCTTAAGTTTTGAAGGGAAGTCATTTTCCTTAAATTTGAGGAAAATGAGTTAATTTGAAAAATATTTTCCAAAACATCTCACACAATCAAACTTGAGAAAATTGGAAAACATATTCCGAAAAATGTTTTCCTCCATACCAAACACATCCTCAAAGTTGAAGGATATATATATATATATATATATATATATATATATATATATATATATATATATATATATATATATATA